GTTAATGAGTCAGCAATTGGAAATCTAAATAAAGCCCAGGACATTTTACATTTAAAAAATGTTGATCCTGTATGTCACACCTCCAAGGAATCTCTGGAACTCACCCATTGTTAAGGTATTCCTGAAAAAGTCTAATTCTCATATGTACCCACAAACAGTTTTATAGTAATTCTAAAATTCAGGTCTTACAGTAAGTATATATTTGGATAGCTTCCAAATGCATTTTATCTCAAACTGCTGTCTTACATAAATTTGGATAAGTGACCTATCTTTCAAGTAGGTCAGATAAGGAGCCAGAACAGGAATCAATGTCCAGGACAAGAAACCATGCTCCCCTCTGGGGTTCTGCTTTTTACTCCGGGATATGGGGTATCAGGGGACTTCACCAGGCAGAGCCGCTACAGGAGTAGCCATCTCACCCATCACCACTCATGCAGATTCCAAAAGGATACAGTTTTCTAACATTTCTGCTTTATTAAACTATCAGCTGTATTTAGTGGGTCCTTAGCCTGTGCCTGAAAATATCTAAGTATTTCACCTATAACAAGGTATTGAATTCCATCCCCCAAATGCAACCGAGATAAATGGCAGCATCTTCATTTTATAGATGTAATAACTGAGATTTAGAGAGACCACTGCCCAATGACAGAAAGCACAGACAATGGAGACTGCATCACCTGATTTCGAATCCAATGATCCCAATTATCACAGGGCAAGACAGTATTATCTTTAGAATCAGAATGCCGGGATTGAAATCCTCATTATTATTCTCATTGCCTCAGTTTATGTTTCTCCAGTTGCAAAGTTATGTTAATGATTACCTGATTCATTTAACTTACAGGAAATCCATTAAAAGTGGAAATGTTTTATGAGCCATGAAGCTCAGCACTACACAATACTAAGATTCTGTACCTGTAAGTCTTAGGTGAATGGGTGCTGAATTTAAATTTAATAGACTCTATGGAACAGACATGTGACCATTATCTGAATTTTTGATGAGAGTAAGACTATTTTCTATTCCTAAAAATTAGATGATTGCAATTCCTTGTGATGGATATTTTGATATATAAACTATAAATTGATCATTTTTCCCCTTCAGTTGGTGGCAAGCAATACATTTCCACTTAATTGCACTAGAAGAGCATCCTGACTCTCAAGGCAGCTGTGGTGAGTACATCTGGACCTCATGAAGACTGGAGACCAGGAGGCAAAAAATTGTCAAAACCAGTTAGTTTTTCTCTGCATAGCTGCTTTATTCTTCAGTTTCCCTAAAGATTGGTTATTTCTGCTTCTTATTAAAACATGTGGTCCAAAAATGGAACCCTCAATTAGACGCATTACCTTTTCCATTTCAAGTTTCTGAGATAGCAGAGCCAGTAGTGCTGAATCCCAAATAAAAATTCTCTGGAGAAGTGAATCTCACTGGCTGAGCACCTGTTGTGAAGCCTGCACCTGTTATGAAATTTCTCAATTTTAGGACCATAGACTTCTCTCTTTTTTTCCTTCAGATATAAACTTACCAAGCTGCCCAGGCTGGGTGGAAGCTGAGATTCTCCTGCCTTTCAGCCTCCACAGCAGCTGTGGTACAGGTGTATACAGTGTCACTCGGCAGCATCCCAAACCTGTCCTATAAGTGCCAAAAGACATTCCCTCACCTCCCAATTGTGACCACTGGAACTGTTCTGATATCACCAATGTGCCCTGGAGACACAACTGTCTCTGGTTCAGAAACATGTTTTGCACATGCTGTGTGTGGCGGTGCGGCCTGTAATCCCAGGCACTCGGCAGGGTGAGGCAGGAGCACAGCTCTGTGAGATCAAGGCCAGCCTGGGCTACATAGCAAGACCCTCTTTCAAAAAACCAAACTAGAAAAGAAGCATGCTTTGTGACCCAGAGTAAAGTGTCATACAGTGCATACACAGCCACAGAGAGACTTTCTGAAAGGGGACACGTCTCTAAAAAAGCCATGTGCCTGCTTAGCCATCATCTGGGATGTTTTCTATTATAAAAATAAAAGATGTGGATGGAAATTATTTTATAAATTTTTTCCATCATAATCAGAGTTATTCAAAGGAATGAAAAGTTTCAGTTATTTGAACACTGTGTAAACTGAAGGAAAATCATTTTTGCTCAAATCTAGGAAAGCTCATATCTTTGTCCTTCCTTGCTACCTTCCCACAGGGATTTCCAAGATCTTGGCTCCTATATCCCTGTCAGAGATATTTCCATCCATACATAAATATTAAACATATATTATACTTTAATCATCTAGTTATATCACCATATTTTGCATTCTATAAAGTGTAAAAATTAAAATTATCAGTTAAAGTAGTTTTATTTGATTTGCGCTGATAGTACTGAGAGTATTTATTATATAGGAATTCTCTTCTAGCAGTTCACGCAGGTTGCTTCTCCCTCCCTGTTAAATTTGACCAAAAACTCTGAAACTAATGCAACAGGCAACAAAAGAAGTTGGAATGGCAAGCAGAGGAGGGTGTTTGGGTTTTGGAGCGAACCCTTGAGGAAGGACAAGGGCAAGGCATCTTGAGTCCCCCTGTTCCAGCCGGAACCAGCATTTCTCAGATTTACACATACCCCTTCCCCATCTAACATGGGACGGGGTCCTGCAGGAGTGCCCAGCACTAACAGCACTAACAGGCTGCAAAGGAGGCCTCTCTGACCCCTTTTTATCATAGCCACAGCGATAAAGTAAGGACTTGGCCCACAACAGCTCATTTTTAAAATGGACAACTTGGTAGGTTTCCTTTTGTTTTCTTTTGTTTTGTTTTGTCATAAAAGACCATGGATCTCCATGTGCTCTAGTGGTTTTTGTGGCTGTCATTGTATCATGAAGTGCTGCGATGATTATTTGTTGTTTTAGAGATCTGAGCCTCTTCCATTGGCCACAGCAACGTCATCTTGGCACTGTGCACTTCCTGGTTTTGACTCCTCTGCTATGAAAACACTGTCTGCGTGCCCTGCAGGAAATGGATTTCAGACAGCAGTCTAATCTACTATAGAATCCTTTTAAAATTCTTGTCAAAACATTCCTGCCAGAAAACATTGTTTCTATTACATACATTAATTTAAATCTACTCTGAGATAGTATTTTTCATCTAACCTTTTGACAAAGACCCCAAAATTTGATAATGCGCTGACTTATTCAGAGACTTGGGAAATGGGCATTCGCTCTCATTGCCCCTGGCCCAGGGAGCTGTTAATAATCTCTGCTGAGAATGAAATCTCCATGTGGGTTATCTCTACCAAACTATAAATATACTGGTTGGACCTTACAAATGCCATTTTTAAGAATAGATATATAAATAATTCATGTACATATGCATGGAATGAAACGGCAAATTGTACTATGCTGTGATTTGGATTTGTAATAACCCCAAAGGGTCATCTGATAAACACCTTGTCTTCAGGCCATGGTGTCACTGGGAGGTGGTAGGACTCTAAGCTGGGTGCAGAGGTAGATTTTAGTGATTGGCAGTGTGCCCTACATAGGATTGAGGGACTCTGGCCTTCCCTTCCCTTTTGATACTCTACCACCACGAGGTGAACGGTTTTGGTCTGCCATGTGCTCCCTGCCATAATGTGCTGCCCTGTGACAGACCCAAAGCAAATGGGCTAACTGTCCAGTGACTGATGCCTCCAGGACTATAAACCAAGATAATCTTTTCCTCTTGAAAAGCTAATTATATTTCATTAACATAACAGAAAGTAGATAATCAAGGAGTACAACAGACAAAGCATGCTAATATTTGCATGAAAATGGACAGGACATACATTGGGTGTATACAAATTATTCTTGAAAGTACACAAAAATTGCAAATAATAAGTGCTGCCTATGAATGACTGAGGGACAAATATGGGACATAGATGAGAAGATACGTTTGCTACTTTGTTCTCTTAAAGTTTTTGAATTTCGAATGAGAATGCTTATGAATTTTAAAAATAAATTTAAAAAATCGAGAATAGATCTTTTCCTATATTTTTTTCTTTTGGTGGTTTAAAGTAACGTAATTTTTGTACTTCTTTATTGAAAAAGAATGCAGCAAATATCATGAACTGAGACAAATTAGCAACCTCTAAACATACAACTATCTAGCAGATTGTCCTAATATTTAATATTTGCATGATGTTAAAATATTCATATTTCTGTCTTCCATCTAATAAAGAATACATTTGAAATTGTCACCACACTGCATCATTTCAGTGTTTGGTTTTACAGCAAGAACAGATATTTACCCTTTGTAGGGAGAATTTTTTTCCATTTTTAAAGAAAACCATTTGTCCTAAAGATTAGAGCATCTTCAGAGTTCACTGGAATATAATATGGATTTAAGAATATCAAGATTAGGTTTGTCTTTATGCTCAGGATATTTTATTATCAAGTACCACAGCAATGATACCCTCCTGCTTTCATTAGTTTACCCTAAGAACTGTGTCCTAGAGTAAGATTCATTGATAACAACAGTTAATCTACGTTCCTAAATCATAGTTTCTCTCCCTGTGCCTTGAACAGTGCCTAGAATGCAGCAGATACATAGTACACCGACTTTTCTTTCTTTTTCTCATCAATGAATGATAATACAAGTACTTAGGCAAGCAGTAAAATAGTCATTCACTTGCAGTGCAATAATTTTCATTTTGTATAGATTTCAGTTTTCTAATTTTACAGATATATAGATTCTGAGGTCCCAGCTACTATCCCCAGTGCTATGCTGTAAATTCATTAATAAACATAAGAATCCAGTTATATATATATATATATATATATATATATATATATATATATAAACAAAAAATAAACATAAGAATCCAGTTATATATTAAATTTCACTATGGCTTTAGGCAGTTTCTTTCCATAGATGCAAATCTACCCCAAGACGACAAAGGCTCGCTGTCATAGCTGCATGACCAGAATTACAAAGAGAATCAATTATAACGTTGTTGACCATTTCAATCCTCTCATTTTAGTGATAAACACTTACAAGTCTGGCAGTGATTTTCTGTAGGTCCCCAGCATCGGCCTGTACAGGACTTATGGCAGCGTCCACCTATAGAAGAGGAAAGGACAAAACTGTCATCCACATAGTGATCTTTCTCTCCTGAGCAAGAAGTGCCTTCTTAAGGGAATATTCTTGCTCTTTATGGGGATTTTTACACCACACTAGAGTTAAGGTGTAGCTCGTAAAATGCCCTCTTAAGTAGCAAAGCCTGAGAGTCCCACATAAGCAAAACTGAAGCACACTGTTTTGGTATTCAAAATACCCTTGACATTTTATGTGAAAAGAAAATAAATGAATGTGTGGAATTACTCAGAATTAGTTATATTAATTAATAAGCTTCATTTTATTGAATACTGTTTTTTTTCTATTGACCTATTTGATATAACTTCTAAAGTTCACAGCTTAATGGCTTTAATGGATAAAAACAATCTAGTTGAATTTGTAAAAACAAGAATATATTCTTTTAAATTCGTGGCAAAACAACAGAATAAAAGATGAAATACAACATTGGAAAAGTTAAGTTTGGGGGAAAGCTCAATTTCAGCCCCTTAATACATGCTTCCAAAATTTTATTGATACTATATTCATTTTCACATGTCAGCTTTTAATTTCTATGCTGGCATATTTGTGAGCCTTTTCTTTCTTTCTTTCTTTCTTTTCTTTTCTTTTTTTTTCTTTTCTTTTCTTTTTTTCTGTGTGTGATATTAGAGATCAAAACTAGGTAAAACCAGGGCCTTCACATTGAGTTCCATTCCCCGTCCATTTTTTGCATCTTATTTTTGAGCCTGGTTCTCGCCAAATTGGCTACACTGGGCTCTAATTTGAAATCCTCCTGCCTCTGCCTACCAGAGTGTTGGAATAACGTGTGTGTCACCATGCCTGGCTATACCGTGGCATCTTTATCTATCATGGAATGTTATGGAAATTGGCCTCAGCAAGCATAGTTGTCCTATAAATTCCCACAAGGGGTCAAAAATAAAAGTATTAGTCAAAAATTATGTAAAATAATTTTCTTCGAAGCTTGTTTCCAAATTTCAGGCTAGATTTTGGAACATGGTTTATGATTTAGAATTTTAAAAAAGTAGATATGAAGACCCAGCAAAGACCAAAGTTTCAACAACGTTTGCTATTAAACTTCTGGAATTTTTACATTAATTGCAAATTTGGTGTTTGTCAAAATTAACCATACTATAAAAATTATCACACACTTACATCATTTCCATGCTCACTTGGTTGTTTAAATTCAGACTTAGACGATCTTTCCACCAGGAGAACTCTCCCAGGTGAGGCTTCCTGAGTGAGCCTACAGTGAAGTGACAGCCGCCCTCACAGTTACAGCACGCTCTCAGCAGACACAAACTCCTGCCACTCCAACAACTGGAAGTGAGCGCTGCTATTTTCAAGTTACACACCCAGGCTCACTTCTTGTTATCAGTTTAAAAGTATGCAGATCCTTGCTACCAGAGTTTATTTAAAGCCATTCTGTTTGTGAAAGACAGACTGACATCACCAGTGTATAATATCCTGTCACCCTGCCATCTGTTTATTTAGATCTAAACACATTCAATCACATAATGCAAGCTCATTCTAGCTGACAGGAAAAGGACTCCATCTGGCCTGAACAATATAACTTTAATCAGTGATAATGATAATTATTATTAAAAACTTACCGCAGTTCCTTTGTAGCAAGCTAATAAATTGAAATTGATTTATACCAGCAGAAATTAGAAAGGACTACGAGAGAAAATGGCAAGCATTAAAAACTTTTTAGAATACAAATTTTATGAGAAATAGTATTTAATGTGTTTTCTTAAAGGTATAAAAATCTTTTAAATCGATTTGGTAAGGGATCTGTTAAATGAAGATATCTGAAGCAGAGAATGACCTACCATTTAATCTATGACTTCTTTCATTGTGTTTGGGGATAATAAAATATTTAACTTTATTATTGGTGGCCAGAACACAGTCTACGTGGAAAAGGCACGTAGGAAGCTAAAATATTTTAAATAACTTAACCTTTAACCTTGTCTATTGTGAGATTTTGTTGGGTCGTTTCTAATTTTCATCTGTGCATAAATAAAAAAATACCTATGAGCGTTATAAAAACATACTACCAGAAACTAGTTTGCTTCCTGGGCTTAACTCAGACTTACATTCCACACACACACACACACACACACACACACACACACACACTTTGGGGACCAGGAGGAGGCGGTCACGTGGCCTACGCAGACTCCCTCCCCAGCTCTGTGCTTGAACCTGGATGAACCTCGTTCCGTGGACACTTGCTGAGCTCAACCTCCCTTTGTTTATCTCTCTGGGGCTCTGAATTTTTTGGCTCTGCTCACACTGTCGGTTCATTTTAGAGCTTCAAAATGATACGCTATATGGTACTGGAGTCAAAATTGTCTTCCCAAGTGGCTGCAAGCATATAAATGTGACAATATCTGACCCAGGCATATTTCAGAATTAATCATTTATTACACTTTCAGACCTGCTACCTTAGTTGGATTCTTGTAGATAGTTGGTAGTATAGCTGTATAAATAGTATGGTTACATGATTTAAAATATGTTCTGCCTTCTGTCCTCAACATTTCTGCTGAATAAAAGTGCCAGAGTCGATGGGGTGAAGTATTTGCATAGTAATCATCTATTACAGGAGAAACTACAAAACTTCCGACCAGCTTTGCCTTCCACCCTCTCTCTGTACCCACTCACAATCATTTTGTGTCTTTGTTCTGTGTATTAGGCACTATATTAAGTACTGGAGATAAAAATTTGAGCTAAATCAGTATGGCTCACACACACATAGAATTTGTAATTAGTTTAGCTTTATTCTGCAAAGAAAGGTTTGACTACTCTGTATCTAGTGTTGCTTTTTAATGTTTTTAAGGGGGAAAGCCAGTAAATCTAAATCTGTAACAGCCTCTACACCAGGAGAGGAGTTGGACCATGCCAGGCTGAGTACATCATTCCAATGCAAGGTCTAGGAATTACAAGACAATGGCTTGGGATTCTGCTGCGTTTCTTACACAGCCATTTATCCTCATGTCAGCTGAAGTGAATATTTCAGTGGACAGAACAAGTACAACTTCTGAAAGGTCCCTTGTTTGTCTCTTAGTAGAAGCATAAATGCCTTGTGTGTTGCTGGGGATTTTTCCTGTTCTCTGTTCTCGTGTAGAATATTCTCAATAGTTCTGATTTCAAGCAAAACAGTGTGGTATTTTATTGTGAATCCATTTTATATAGTATTTCTTTCCAGGAGGACTACAAGGAGAAAAATTAGTTACCTACTAGAGTATCTAAACAGAAACCGTTTTGGGAACTTTTACCAATGCTATTCCAATTTCTATTTTCACATCTCAGCTTTGTACATGACTAATGTTAATTGTTAATGGCAATACTTCTTTTAAATCTGTGAGAAACAGGGCACTTTTTCACTTAAAATGAAGACTGACATTTCCAAATGTGTTGATGGGAGTAGTTATTCAATTAATATTTTCTGTCACCCTGACTTAACCAAAGAGTTGAAATAAAAAGTAAAACAAAATTTTAAACAAACATTCTTGTGATTTTTTTGATTTTATTAGTCTTCTAAATAAGTACTGATCATCCCTGTCAGCATTATTTTAATTCACAAGTGATTCCCCTTAGCACTGACAATACATTATTCATCATGGAAGTTAGCAAATATGACTAAATTCACCTTTTATGCTTGTCCAGCAGATATTACCAAAAATGTAGCTTTTGCGTTCTTTTTTTTTTTTTAAAGGAGTTGGAGTCCTTGAACTGCTTTTATACTTTTAAGTCATAAATTCAAGCCTGAAGTTTTGCTTGCTTGTGTGACTGCCTGACAGAAGCAGTGGGATTCAGTATCTATCTCTGCACTGCTGTCTGCCAGTAATACGCCAGGACGATGGAAGAGTTACAGAGTATGGAGCCAGTGAAAGCCATAAAAGATTATATCCTCAGACTGCCCGTGGCTAGAGGCAATGTGGTCACATCCCTGGATTCTTCCTTCAGTCCCTTTAAAAGCTGGCATTCTTGACCTCTTAAAGTGACTTTTATTGGGAAAAGGAGAGAACATTATTTTTTTCATGTCCATGTAATTCAAAAATGGGAAAGGAACACTGAGAGCCTGTGTTAGACAGTGCAGGAAACAGAGAGATGAATGGATACATCCATGTTGTGCCCTCAGGGAGCTTTCTGGATCCCACAGAGAAGCAGGCAATCATAACTAACCATAGTGTTTGTTAAAACGAAGGTATGCATAAAAGGCATAGGAAGGATTTGAAAAGGCTTTATAGAAGGGTGAGCATTTCAGGTGGATTTGAATCCAGGGTTTGTTGGGCAGAGAAGGGCAGGGAAAGAGAGGTCCAGGATCAACAAAAATGGTGATGCAGAGGCCATGCTGAATATAGGTCTTTGGACAATAATGTGTATGTTCGTTTTCCTGAAGAGCTGTTTGAACAGTAGCAGCCAAAGTGTGAATTTATGTATTCTGAAAGCCTTCTAAACAGTGTGGGGTTAACTTGCATAAGCTTGGAGTTGGCCAAGGTTTTTGAGCTTTGCAATGATATGGTTTGACCTACAAGATGGAAAAATGACTTGGAAACATAGTTTCTAAAACAGAAAGTTGATGTTGGAGTAGCTTGTGCAAGAGGCTGGTTTCAGACTCTGGGAAGAGGTATGGAGTCCCTATTTTTAAAAGGAAATAGTAGGGATTCTGATATTGATTTCCCAACATGACACAGTGAGTAGGAGATTAGGACATGTCATATAATTACAAGCTCACTTAACATGACTGTATAGTGAAACAGTATGTGTTAGATTGACCAGATGTTAGGTACCCAAATGTTGAGCCTTAACCAGGATAAAAAATCCAGTAGTTTCTCATGTCCAGTGTTTCCTCCTTGATTTGTGGACCTATTTCCATATAAATGTGCTTTGTCCCAGTAGCACCAAAATGTTCACAGCTATTTTAGATTATAAACTATAGTAAGCTACTCATATGTAGTAAATTTGCAACATGATTTTAGCAAACA